ACAAATAAGACAAAGATAACACAGTCACAAATAAGACAAAGATAACAGTCACAAATAAGACAAAGATAACACAGTCACAAATAAGACAAAGATAACACAGTCACAAATAAGACAAAGATAACAGTCACAAATAAGACAAAGATAACAGTCACAAATATGACAAAGATAACACAGTCACAAATAAGACAAAGATAACAGTCACAAATAAAACAAAGATAACAGTCACAAATAAGACAACGATTACACAGTCACAAATAAGACAAAGACAACAGTCACAAATAAGACAAAGATAACACAGTCACAAATAAGACATAGGACAAAGATAACAGTCACAAATAAGACAAAGATAACAGTCACAAATAAGACAAAAATAACAGTCACAAATAAGACAAAGATAACACAGTCACAAATAAGACAAAGATAACAGTCACAAATAAGACAAAGATAACACAGTCACAAATAAGACAAAGATAACAGTCACAAATAAAACAAAGATAACAGTCACAAATAAGACAACGATTACACAGTCACAAATAAGACAAAGACAACAGTCACAAATAAGACAAAGATAACACAGTCACAAATAAGACATAGGACAAAGATAACAGTCACAAATAAGACAAAGATAACAGTCACAAATATGACAAAGATAACACAGTCACAAATAAGACAAAGATAACAGTCACAAATAAGACAAAGATAACAGTCACAAATAAGACAAAAATAACAGTCACAAATAAGACAAAGATAACACAGTCACAAATAAGACAAAGATAACAGTCACAAATAAGACAAAGATAACAGTCACAATAAGACAAAGATAACACAGTCACAAATAAGATGACAAAGAGATGTACTACAGTACAGGGTTGCCAGCAGGCTCAGACAAAAAAGCCTGCAAATTTTTTGGTACAAAATTATATGCGCTACATTTAATTAAAGACAGATGAGATATTAACATATGCCAAAATATTTCCTACATAGGCCTAGGCCGATTAGAAAAAACGAAATATGACAAAAATAGAAGAGAGCAATACCAGCACATTGACGGGTGGAATGGATGGGGGAAGGTATTGCTGGAAAGAAATTACTTTCTCCTCTTGAATTTTAAACAGCCGGAAATTTCTGGCTTAAGCGGGAAAACTGGCAACCCTGGGAGTAGAGCTCCCAGTGGCCGGTCATTCTACGCTCGGTATTCTAGAAAAGTGTCCTTTAGTCTCTGTGACATTCTGTGACATTCTAGAAAATTGTCCTTTAGTCTCTGTGACATTCAGTGACATTCTAGAAAAGTGTCCTTTAGTCTCTGTGACATTCAGTGACATTCTAGAAAAGTGTCCTTTAGTCTCTGTGACATTCTAGAAAAGTGTCTTTTAGTCTCTGTGACATTCTGTGACATTCTAGAAAAGTGTCCTTTAGTCTCTGTGACATTCTAGAAAAGTGTCCTTTAGTCTCTGTGACATTCTAGAAAAGTGTCCTTTAGTCTCTGTGACATTCTGTGACATTCTAGAAAAGTTTCCTTTAGTCTCTGTGACATTCTGTGACATTCTAGAAAAGTGTCCTTTAGTCTCTGTGACATTCTAGAAAAGTTTCCTTTAGTCTCTGTGACATTCTGTGACATTTTAGAAAAGTGTCCTGTAGTCTCTGTGACATTCTAGAAAAGTGTCCTTTAGTCTCTGTGACATTCTAGAAAAGTGTCCTATAGTCTCTGTGACATTCTAGAAAAGTGTCCTTTAGTCTCTGTGACATTCTGGAAAAGTGTCCTTTAGTCTCTGTGACATTCTGTGACATTCTAGAAAAGTGTCCTTTAGTCTCTGTGACATTCTAGAAAAGTCTCCTTTAGTCTCTCAAGTGTGACATTGCCGCTTCTCCTTCTTTGTCTCCAAACCCCATCCCTCACATCCCTCATTCCTTCATCAAAGAGCATGCTGTCCAGCATGGATATGCCCTACATAAATGCAATTTTTATTATTACTACTATTATTGTATTATTATTTTATTATAATTAACTTTATTATTATTATTATTACTTTTACTATTATTATTATTATTATTATTATTTTATTATTATTATTATTATTACTTTATTATTATTATTATTATTATTACTTTATTATTATCATTATTATTACTTTGTTATTATCATTATCATTATTACTACTTTCTTATTTTATCATTATTATTTTATTCTCATTATTATTACTATTTCATCATTATTATTATTCTATTATTATTCTATTATTATTATAATTATCATTTTATTATTATTTTACTATTATTGTATTATTATTATTATTATTATTATTATAATAACATTACTGTTATTATCATTATTAATATCATTATTATTATTATTATTATTATTATAATTATTGCTATCAGTAAAATGTGTCTGCTATTTCTGTGGATGTGAAGGAACCCCTCCCAGGACGACAACACTCATGCCCGCGTGCACACACACACACACACAGGACGACGACACTCACACACACACACACACACACACACACACACACACACACACACAGGACAAGGACACTCACAATAACTCAGTTCTGCTCCCTCGGCCTGGTGCAGAATCCTGTAAGGCAGGGTCTGAAAGAAACAAAAGGAACATTTAGTAACAGCAAATACAAAATTCAGTAACATCAAAAATACAAAATTCAGTAACATCAAAAATACAAAATTAGTTAACATCAAAAATACAAAATTAGTTAACATCAAAAATACAAAATTAGTTAACATCAAGTACAGAGTTTGTTAACATTACCAAAGCATCAGCCCATACAGTCAGAACTCCTACAAAACGTCCATGTTTCACAACCCGCATTGACAGTTCTGACGTCAAAGACATCCCTCATGGCTCTCCTCACCACCTACAAGTCACGCTCCTTTCTCAACCAGTTTTTGTTTGAATTTTAAAAAATAGTTTTCGTATGAGTTTGCCAGAACTTACCGCACAATGAGGTCACAAGTGCCACAGATTACAGGCGTTACTAGAGGGTAACGTACACAGACAAGATGGAGGAGAGAGGCAAGGATGATAGTGCTTCGCTAAACATCAACTAACTAGCGATGATAGCAACGAGGAAAAAGGGAGAAGGAACAGAAAAAATTGACAGCAATAGATGGAGACGAAGAAGGGAGAAGAAGAAGCAGAAGAAATGTGAGGCGAGCCGACAAAATGAGTTACTTCTCACAATCTGCAAACGGAGATATCTGCCAAAAATTGACACTACGGTGAAATTTGTAGATTTTCTATGGATGCCATTCTTAAAGTGCAGCATGCCTTTGATTATTTCCTACTTATAAATTGTAAGAAGTTCACCTACCAGCGCGGTGTGTCTATAGAGGGCCCAAATCCCAGAAGTAACTCATCATTTTGTTCGCACATTTGACAAATAGACCAAACCCCACCACAGCGGAGAACACAGATGGGCCGGGGAAATAGATGTTTTAGTTTTAGAAAGAGTTTTATGGCACTTTCAACACAATAAGGTCATATAAGTTCCGCAGATTTGGGGTGTTACAAGAGAGTAACAAACACAAAAAAGAAGGAGGAGCGATCAGGATGATAGATGTTTGATAGGAAAGAAGGAGCAAACCACACCAGAGCACCCGCCAATCACCCACAAAAAGACGTGAAAACATGACAAAACCAGGAGGATGGGAGGTAGTGGGTAGTGTTTTCATGTCTCCTCCCTCTCCTCCTCCCTCCCTCTCCTCCTTCCTCCCCCCCTCTCCTCCTTCCTCCCTCTCTCTCCTCCTCCCCCCCTCTCCTCCTTCCTCCCTCTCCTCCCTCTCCTCCCTCTCCCCCCCTCTCCCCCGCCCCTCACCTTATTGTCCAGTACAGTGTCCAGGGTCCCCACCAGAAGCCCCGTGAGGCCGCCGCCCCCGTAGCCTTTCCGTCGCTGCAGCACGAAGAACGGATTGGCTCTCTCCGTGGCCCTACAGGTGAGGAAAGAATTTATGTTGTAGTAAGGTTTTACGGCACTCGCAACTGCATAAGGTCATATGAGCACCAAGGGGTGGATGTCAACAGAGAAGTCCAAACGGGGAATCAGACTTACTCTGCTCACCTCTCTAGCCTCAACAGCACAAAGTCTGCTTCGACTATCAAGGCACTCCGGAAATAGCAGTTCACAAGAGAGTGACAAACGTACAAAAGAAGTAGAGGAAAATGACGATAGTAAGGATGAGGAAAGAAAAAGCAGCAGTTCCCCCTATGTTGTTCCGGCACAGTATGAGCATGACATTGATAAATCAGCCCGTTTACAATTCTACTGTACATAAGAACATGTTAATATCCCCCCTTTGGGAATGGCCTAAAGAGGAAAGAAAGGATTGTTACATAGTATGCCCCATCTCCACCATGGAGGAAGCACTCTGGGGTCAAAATAAATACATGTAATGATCCCTGTGGAGAATATGGGTTACGGTGGAAAACATAACATACTTAAAACATAGACATACGTAACTGAACACACAAACATACATACTTAAAACATAAACATATGTAACTGAACACACAAACATGACATACTTCAAATATAGACATACGTAACTGAACACACAAACATGAAATACTTAAAACATAGACAAACGTAACTGAACACACAAACATGAAATACTTAAAACATAGACATACGTAACTGAACACACAAACATGACATACTTAAAACATAGACATACGTAACTGAACACACAAACATGACATACTTAAAACATAAACATACGTAACTGAACACACAAACATGACATACTTAAAACATAAACATACGTAACTGAACACACAAACATGACATACTTAAAACATAGACATACGTAACTGAACACACAAACATGACATACTTAAAACATAGACATATGTAACTGAACACACAAACATGAAATACTTAAAACATAGACATACGTAACTGAACACACAAACATGAAATACTTAAAACATAAACATACGTAACTGAACACACAAACATGACATACTTCAAACATAGACATACGTAACTGAACACACAAACATGACATACTTAAAACATAGACATACGTAACTGAACACATAAACATGAAATACAAAGAAGTCCAAATACACAATATTAGACCAATCAGCGATGCAGACAATTTTACGAACATGCCACGGCCATTGCTGGTCACCACTGAGTGGCTCCCTGGTTTTTTGAGTTTTGTCTTGCTCAAGGACACATCCCACTGCCCATCAGCTTAACTCTTTCCGGACGTAGTTGTTTCGGGGTCTAGATGTAATTAACTTGTGACTCGATTCGGCTACACAGCTGGTGTACAAAATAACTTCAATAAGCATAACCATTGCTCAAAACCTAACATATATATATATATATATATATATATATATATATATATATATATATATATATATATATATATATATATATATATATATATAAAATGATAAATCAAACTGAAGGAAATTGAATAAGGAATACATTCCAATACGAAACAAGGATTCATTTTGAACATAAGTAAGCCTTACAAGGGTTAGAAATAGCAATGGTGGTGAGAAAAATACATTCTGCAGGAAAAAATTTACTCACACTTAACATGTGAAAGCAAATCAGCATAGAGCTGTCTTTTCATATACAGACCAAGAGCAGAGGTCATACATTTCTGAATGTGCAGCTTTTTATTTGAATGCAATTTCCAATTTAAGTGTGAGTTATGATATTTATATTGAGTCCAGTTAAATCATTTTGTTGATGCAAGATCGCAAGAACTAATTCACTCGTTTTTCGCCAGACCGACACATTTACAAAGCGAAACTACATGTTTTCATTTCCTAAACCCTTTCCAAGTTTTCAATAACAATAAAAAGTACTTTATTAACTTTATAAATTATGGATCGTGTTAAAACAAAAGAAATCTGAGGCTCCCGATCACAGCCGATATATATATCGGTGATACCCCCACAAGGGGTGTGGACTACAGCCGGTATATATATCGGTGATACCCCCACAAGGGGTGTGGACTACAGCCGATATATATATCGGTGATACCCCCACAAGGGGTGTGGACTACAGCCGGTATATATCTGTGATACGTCCACAAGGGGTGTGCTACAGCCGGTATATATCAGTGATACGCCCACAAGGGGTGTGCTACAGCCAGTATATATATCGGTGATACGTCCACAAAGAGTTAAACTCTGTGTCACAGTCACACACACACACAAACACACACTACACACCACGGCGTCATTTTCGCCCGATTCTGTTACTTTTAGTTCGCGTGACTCAGCAGCCCGCCGGAGCTCCCCGGCTCGGGGTCATGGGGTTAATGAGCCCTGAAGCGACTTTGCCGGTGTCGGTCAGGAAGTTCGCATTTTTGATTAAGTTTAAAACGATATAACTTCTTCCCCATCCCACATAGCAAACCATTACGCGGATGTACTAAAAGCTCAATGTCTTGAGATTTATTCTGCGTTACAATGGTTAATTTCTGTGCCTTAGTTTTTGTTCTAGACAAATGTTTGTAGAGTTCCCAATTTGTCTTATTTTAGGTACAAACTTATGAATAAATGATTGTTAATTTTAAAAGGCATGAAAGATCTCTCCAAAATCTGTGTTAAACTGACTACGAATATTAATATCATGTGTTTTACCATGAGAAATCTTAAATCTGCGCGAGTAGTAATAGTCAAGTTATAAGAGAAGAAAGATGCACATCTGCATTTTTAAAACTAAAGACGATCAGTGTTAGCTCTTATTTTATTATTAAACAAGAGAAAGTTACTCTGCGATTGTTCATGAATCACACCTGCATATAACTAAAAAGATATAATATAAGCGATTAAAAAAACCACAAAACCGTGTAAATACAAGGGTAGAAACTTCTTGTATGGAATAAAAATAATGACAGCTAAAAAATTCATTCTTAGTTTTTGTGTCGGAAATATGCGCGGACACAATTATGAATGTAAAGAAATCAGTCACATTGTCAGTTATTACAAGTGGTCATAGAAACGGAAAATAAAGCTGGAAAAGTCTGGTGCTGATTCAATGTCCCTGGAAAGCTAGAAATTATTCTTATAACCCAATTACGAGAAGTCATCCTTATTATTCAGTCAACTTACAAAACCTAGACTTAGCCTTTTAAGAAAAGTAAGGAATTTCTGGAGTGTAACAGATACTGTTCGTGTCTTAGATCTACGTTGAAGATGTATTCTAGCACTAAATTCGATTTGTACTTTTCATAGAGAAACTTCATTGTAACTTTTATAAACTTTCGAGAAAATATGCGAATATTCACGATTATATTAGACACATAAAGTTGTATTTAGAGGAATTACTTCATAGCGAATTGTGTGCCCGATGGATAAAATTGCAAAATTAAAGCTTTCTATTATATGCGCAGAAACCATCTTTTCTGAGTATCTGCACCAATGCTATGTCCTTCATGTTCCAAAAGTTCGACAGATTTTGATGAGGCCTTTTTTTATATTGATTTTTTTTTCATTCACGCTAGTCAAAAAAAAAATTACAATTTAGCATTGCCGACTCATTGCCGACTCCAGCGCGTCTAATGAAATAACCAGACAAGTTACAACGTCCGTTCTTTTTTGAGTCTCAAGAGCAGAAATGCGTGCTTTGGGTGCACTAAATGAGAATTACCATAAATACAAGGATACACCTTAAATTGTACGTGGAAAAGTACCAAAACTTTAGTCGGCCCAGACAGAGCGGCGACAGGGAGCTGACCCCCGTGACCCCGACGTGATAAGGCGCCCGGCGGGGAACCCCCCGCGGCAACTAAAATTCCACTGCCGGTGCGCCGTGACACACACTCAAACACACACACACACACTACACACAAACAAAAACACACTACACATACACACACACACACACTACACACACACTACATCCACACACACACACTACATCCACACACACACACTACACACACAAACACATACTACACACACACACTACACACACACACACACACTGCACACAAACACATACTCACACTACACACACAAACACATACACACACTACACATCCACACACACAAACACACACACCCCATTGACCACCCATCTAATCCCGGTGTCACCGACACTTAGTCTGAACTCACTTCTCACTCAGCCACTGTTTTAGTGAGTGTGTAAAAAGTAAAGTAAAGTAAAGTTGTTCCCGCATCCAATTCGGACACTGGGGATTGCCTTGATAGTGAGATAACTTCCAGGGCCTTCGGCATATTGTGGTAGGGTGTGCAGTGAGTGTGCAGTGAGTGTGTGGTGAGTGTGTGGTGAGTGTGTAGTGAGTGTGTGGTGAGTGTGTAGCATTTTAAATAAAATAACTTCCATGACTCTGCCTGGCAGTTACATCCCTGCAGAGGAAGTTCTGTTATTTTCTCAATTTTCCACCCTGTCAAACCAAAACACAAAGACAAAGCATCCTTGTCAAACCAAACAACGAGGCAGCCCTGTCAAGAGGAATCCCCAGCACACTAGCATATATATATATA